AAGGAAAATTATCAAAGATTCATCAAGTTTTCACTCTATCGATTTAAATCTTCGGAAATCTGCTGAAAGTCCAATGGGAAGCCTGTTGCTGAACGCAACTGTACCGGTCAGTTACTGTGCCGGTGCGTTGGGTCGGCATCACTGCGCCAACTCCTGATAACTCACCGAGTTACCCACGCCTAGCCCGAAGGGCTCAGCACAACTGCGTCACTCACTAAAATCTAATGCGTTTGTTGTGCCAGGCCCCTTCGGGCACGACACTGGAAGGACTCCAAACGGCAAATCAGCCAACTTGCAAGGATTTCATGCAGGAAAACCAGTGCGGTGCCCAAAGGCAATAATCAATCAATTAACATTTCCCCGCTTCTATTCCATTCCGACAAAACAACATTCCATAAGCAATTACCACGACCTGAAAAACTCCTCCAAAATACAACAAAAGTGGCACTTTTGCGGCACCATCTAGAAGAAAATATTGCGCGCAATTTGCCTCACAAACACCCTGTATAAACCGTCACTTCCTGCAAGACGATCGTCCAGAAGGGCGAGCGGGTTGGCGGAGCACGGGGGGGAGGGTCACCCTCACGCGTTGTGCAGATGTCGCGGTCCGACGGGCCCCGCGAGGCCTTCGCCCCCTGCCCGAACCCCTTCTAGCTTCGCGTGGCCCCCCAGGGGCGATGGGGGCCGTCACGCACGCAGGAGGCGCGAGGTCAACCCGCGGCTGCTGCTGCAGGCCTGCAAAGAGGGACGTGGGTCGAAATTGGACAGTAAATAGAATTCGTGGACCTACTATGCCGACAGCCACCAAATTTACTGAAACCAAACGTTTCGCTTGCAACTGCCTCGGGGCCTGCATCCTCAGGGTTGGTGGGCGACTCCCGATGGATGCGCTGCTGGACGTAAACAAATGCTCGTATCGAGTGACCATAACCAAGTGTCAACAAAATAAATGTCAAAAATGTTACTCGTTCGGTGTGGTGTATTACTGGGCCGCCAGAGCGCGCTATGGCGTTTGACTTGGCAATCGCGCGTTTAACTACCGATGGGGGCGCTGCGAAACGGCAAATTACTCGTTGCCGAGTAACAGTTGAGCTTTATCTATGCAGGGGCGGATTCAGCTTTAAAGTCAGGGGCGGGGTTATGTAGAAAAAATACAGTCTTCTGTTATCTATGAAATTAGAAACATTATCGTCGTTTTGTGCAAGGGTGGCGCAAGATTATTGCAAAATTTCATGTTTTCCGTCCCGTTTTGCAGGTTTCTCGGAAGTAAAATGAGCAAGAACGCTCGTTTTTAGATCATTCCAGAGATAATAAAATGGACTTTATTCGAAGTTTCTCAAGAACCATTTGAGCCAGAGAATTCGTTTTGGCATCGTTGGATAGAGAATTGAAAAGTCGATTCAGTCGTAACAACATGAGTGAGGAAATTCGAGTAGTTTTGACCCAGAAAG